GGAGAGGGAGGATGGGGAAGATTAGAGCAGGAGGTGGGGGAGAGGTGCAGAGGGGGCCAGTGCACTGTCTGCGACAAGCACGAAGTTCGTAGGGAGGTAGGGGACCTCGAAGCAGTTGTAGGGCCTCCTTTCCCAGGTCGATTCTGCGGTCCTCCATGGTTTCCACCGGATGTCTAGGCAGAGTCAGTCAGTTCTGAAAATCTGTTATGCGGATCCTGCCACAACTGGCGGTAGGTCAGAACTATAGTTTCCTTGGCTTCCTGTTCCTTCTCCTCCCGGTACACCCGTTTCATTTCTTTCCATGCATCATGCGTTCGGGCTCTGATCTCATCTTCCGTCGCTTGCTGCGCTTGTTGCAGGCCAAATTGATGGTTTTTTCTTTCGAAAGCACACCAAGCACGCCATGTGAGCATTAGTATGTGGAGGCGCATGTAGGCAAAGAGACTGGCTGCATAGGGAGACCATCGGGCCAGCAGATGCTGGGTTTTGCCGAGTAGGAGAAGACCCAAGTCCCATGGAATGTGATTCCCCGTGAGGGAGTGGAGTGCCGCATCCCACCATTGCCATATTTGGGTGACCATTGGACAAGCCAGCAGACAATGTTCCAGTGTTGCCCTGGCCGGCGACGTTGCTCTACCACAGTACAAGCAGATGGGGGACAACAGTCCTTTCTGTTCCAGGTTCGTCCTGGATACCAACCAGTCGGGGGTGAGGAGGCAACGATACAGTATCTGCCGTTGTAGGGATCTGAGGTTCGTTTGTGATACGCAACCTCACGCCCCCTCGCAGCTTCCCGTACGGGGTCGCCGATCAGAGTTCTAGGAGGGGCGTGGCCGAGGATTTTTGGCCGTAAGGGTTGAGTCTCCCGGACGAAACGGGAGGCTCTCGTTTCTTGGCCGAGGTTTTTCTCGGAGTCGAACTGTCGTCGCGAAGTCCCACGGGGGTCGGACTACTCCGAAACGATAAAATCAGAAGGGTTTCTGTGAAAATGAATTGCCGTCGTGCATCGGGACAGGAAAAGGCATCAAGGGGAGGAGGCCATGGCGGCAGACGGCAAAAACTCCGGCCATCATGGGTTTCCGGGATAGGTGGTGGGTTCGAAGTCTTCAGGCCTCGACGTCGGACTCATAGAGCCCGCGCGAAAGTTTCCGGGAGGGTAAAGCGGCGGGAGGACTCGCCGGCATCTGAATTCGAAATTGCGCGGGCAGCGCCCCCGCACTATGGGAAAGCTCGGGGAAGCGTGTCGCTCCCTCGTAACCTAGGACCAGTCGTCGCCACGAACACGAGTCCCCCTGCCGACACCAGCGACAATCAAACTGCGGTCGCCACGCGGCGTGAGCGGCCGACCAGGGCAACACCGTTAAACCCGTATAAGGCAATATTAGAGTCGGGGAATCAAAGCGATCAATCAACACAAACCCGATCCCCCTTATCTCACAAGCCCGAGGCGGGTCTTGCCAACACACTTGCTCCGTCCGCCTCAGCGTGCGCCGTACGTCCGCATCGCAGTAGTTGTTGTCGTCATCTGTGATGAAGAAGGTCGGTAGCGAAATGAGACGATCGGAAGTACGTGATGAACATGGGCAAGATCCCGCGTTCCCGGTCATCCGAACCAACACCGAATCCATACAACAATCGTCGCAACTCTTCTCTCTCAAAAGTGGGTGCGTAGGGGGAGGATGACGAAATCTAAGCTTTCTCCCCTTGGCGGGGGCGTCGACCGTCCGCGCGGACGCAGGTGGTTGACGTCACCGGTACGGGGACGAGAAGCTCTAAAAGGCGATGACTGTTAGTTCAAAAGGAAGGCGATCGAAAAGGAAGAGAGAGAGAG